AGATAGATAGATAGATAGATAGATAGATAGATAGATAGATAGATAGATAGATAGATGGATGGATGTGCCGTGCTGCCTTTGCGATCAGCTCAGTACCTGGCCTAGGCTACCTATCAGCTGTGCAGCTGTAGCCAGGTTAGCCAGCCTCTCTCTGCCTCAGTTCCTCATCTATTGGATGGAGATAAGACTAGCACCCGGCTGAAGAGTGGTGGCACACGTACTTAACCCCAGCACACAGGAGGCAGAGCCTGGTGGACCTCTGCGAGTTCGAGGCTAGCCTTGTCTACAGATCAAGGACCAGGCCAGCTAGGGCTATATAGTAAGACCCTGTCTCAAAAGAAGAAAAGGAGGGAAGGAAAAGGAGGGGGAGAAGGAGGGTACCTGTCACAAGGTGGACATGAGAATTTAAAACTGCACGTGCGTGGAGTCTTTGAAGCGGCCCCTGCATGCAGTACATGTCCGTGTGCTTGCTCTTCCCTCTATTGGATTATTTTCCTCACTTCCAGTGACAACTGAAAGCACAACTTCTCCAAGGGTATTCAGTAGTTCCCATACTCATATGTATGTTTTTCCTTTGGTAACCATGACTGTATTGTTTTTACTATTACTGCTAATACGATTTTAGCAAGTGCTGCTGTGGTGTGTGTGTGTGTGTGTGTGTGTGTGGTATGTGTGTTTGTGTACATGTATATATGTGTGGGGTGTAAGTGTGTGGGGTGCAGGGGTGTGTATGTGTGGCTGTCTGCAGTATGTGTGTGGGGCGTGTGTGTGTTATATGTACACGTGTGTGGTGTGTATGCTTGTGTATGAGTGTGTAAGCACGTGTTGTGTGTGTGTTGTGTGTGTTTGTGTATATGTATATTGTGGTGTGCATGTTTGTGTATCAGTGGATAAGTGTGTGTTGTGTGTGTGTTTGTGTATATGTATATGTGTGTGGTGTGTATGTTTGTGTATGTGCGTGTAAGTGTGTGGAGCATAGGGGAATGTGTGGTGTGTCTGTTGTATGTGTGGGGGGGTGTATGTGTGTGTACATGTATACATGTGTGGTGTGCATGTTTGTGGATGAGTGTGTAAGGTGTGTGTGTGTGTGTGTGTGTGTGTGTGTGTACAGATACACATACACAGAAGCCAGAGGGGTGTGTCAATGTCCTCCCCTATCGTTCCCCTCCCTTGACCTTGTTCCCTTGGGACATACTCTCTTACTGACCCTGGAGTGTGCTGGTTTTCAACTAAGTTGGCAGCCAGCTCGCCCCAGTGGCCTTCCTACCTCCATTCCTCAGTGTTGGGGTTGCAGGAGTGCACACAGCCACGCCTGACTTCTTACCTGGGTGTTGGGGATCCAAACTCAGATCCTTCTTTCCGTACAGCAAGTGCTCTTACGCACGGGACATCCTCCCAGCCTGCATTGCTGGATTTAAACGCTCAGCCTCAATACCTCTCCTTGTCCCAGATCCACATCCCTCACCCTCTGTCTTACCTTTTGCCTCCGTCCAGTGGTCTCCAGTTTGACTTGGCCAGTAAAAATTACGCTGGAGGTTGATCTCTGAGTACAAGATCGGGGCTCCTGCTAATCGGCCTCTTGGCCACACCCACTCTGCCCACAGCTTCTGGCCATAGCGTAGCCTCAGCTTACATTTGCACACTTGGGCAAGAACATGACCCAGAGCACTGCACTCTCTCTGTGGTTCCCTGCACCCTGGCCACTCCTTTGCAGGGCCATTCGTCCTTAGACGGCCTTTGCTCAAAGCACCCTAAGCTATATTCATTACACCGGCTGCTGACACGGCTCTCATTAAAGCTCTATGAAGTATGTGTTGTCATGTTGCCAAAGATTGCCAAGGTCTCTCCACCACAGGTGCTAGAGCCATGTCTACAGGGCTCCAACATCCATGTTTGTGATCGCTGAGTGCTGTTACCTGAATGCTGAGGATAAACTCCATGTGGTAACACTAGAAAATGAAGACTATGACAGACTAGGTTACAAGGACAGAGCCCTCATGAATGGGATTTTCGGCCACATAAAACAAACAACAAACAAAAAAAGCACCAAAGAACAGTTTGGTCCTTCTGGCACATGAGAATGCAATAAGGAGACAATGCCATTAGGTACTGCAGCACTTACCTTTAATCCCAGCACTCTGGAGGCAGAAGCAGGTCGATCTCTCTGAGTTCAAAGCCAACCTGTGCTATATAGTGAATTCCAGACTAGCCAGGGATATATAGTGAGACCCTATCTTGAAGGAGGAGAAGAAAGGAAGGGTAGAGAGGAGGTGGTGGTGGCAGAGAACTGTAATGCCTATAAGTAGGTATGGGGCACTCACAGGATACCAAGTCTGCCAAAGCCCAAACAGAGCAAACATTCAATTAGAGAATTCCAAGCCAGCAAGATGGCTCAGTTGGTGTGGTGGTTTGAATAAGAACGGCCCCATAGGCCCATAGGTTTGACTGTTTAGTCACCAGGAAATGGCACTATTTGAAAGGATTAGGAGGTGTGGCCTTGTTGGAGGAAGTGTGTCACTGGGGGTGTGCTCTAAAGTTTTAAGAGCCCAAGCCAGGGACAGTGTCTCTCTTCCTGCTGCCTGAAGATCCAGATATTGAACTCTCAGCTGCTTCTGCCTGCATGTCGCCATGCTCTCTGCCATGACAGTAATGGCCTCAACCTCCAAAACTGTAAGCGAGCCCCAGTTAAACCGTTTTCCTTAATAAGAGTGGCCTTGGCCACGGTGTCTCTTCACAGCAATAGAACACTAAGACAGCTCGTAAAGGTATTTGTCCCCAAGCCTGATGACTGAAATTTGCTCCCTGAACCCACATGGTAGAAAAAGAGAGCCAGCTCCCAAAAGTTTTTCCCTAACCTCCATAGACATGGTGCACACTCATGTATATGCCCTAAATAATTTTCGAAACATGTTGGAAGAAATTATTTGTGTGTATACGTACAAACACAGAGAGAGTGGGGAGTCAGAGAGGGAAAGGGGGAAGGGGAGAAAGAGAGAGAGAACTAATAAGTAAATAGAAATGAAATGATAAAGTCAGTTGACTTTTCTGAGGCCCATGTCGTGCCTTTGACCTTTGGCCTACACTCACTCACACAGAGAGAGAGAGAATTATTCTATAATAGGTTGTACGGTTCTGTGTGAACATCCACATAGATGATGGTTAGAAGACAGTTTTTGAGTTGGTTGGTTTACCATGTCAATCCACTCCAAGCAACAGTAACAAAAATATATATATATACCATAAAAAAGTACACTTGCCCGGCATGCATGTGACCCTGGGTTCCGTCCCAGGCCCAGCAAATAACAATCAAACACACAAACATAGACTAGGCAGCCAAATACACAGGGACTGTGTTTCTCAGAATTCAGGAATGTCAACATCAAAGAGCCAACCAATCTGGTGTCAGCTGAGGGACCATTCCTTATGCTTCCTACCTTCCTACCTTCTCCTGTCTCCTCCCATGGAGGCCGCAGTGAACAAGCTGCCTGGGAGCTTTTAAAAGCACTCTTC